AAAAAAAAAAAAAAAAAAAAAAAAACGGGTAGCCGAGGAAAAAAGGGTTGTTGGGGAAAGAAGGAAACTGGGTTTTGCCGTGTCCGGGCAGAGCTCCCGGAGAAACTTCTCCCGCGGGGGCGAAAAACTTGAGCGCAGGAAAGGGGCAGCCTGGAGCGAGAGCCGCGGAGCGGGCGGGAGCCACGGGCGGCCTCGGGGCCCGGGAGAAGGGGGAGCGCCCGGGAGAAGGGGGAGCGCCCGGGTTTTCTGGAGCGAGTTCTGTGGAGGGGAAGGATGGAGCTGCAGGGACCGGGATGGCGAGTACAGGGGAAGGAGCCGGATAAGTTTGGAACTTCCCCAAAATATCCCAGTGACACGTGCGGGGCGTTTGGAGCCGTGTTTGGCATCCTGAGGGGATTGGGTTGTGTTAGTTGGGTTATTTACCATGATTTACTCAAATCCTGACTGCCAGTTTGCGTGCGTATGGGGAACGTGGTATTTTGCAGCTTCGTTTTTCCCCTTGCTCCAGATTGCATGTTCATTTTTGGGGTGGCACAGCCTAAAAGGGCGATCTCGGTGAACGTTTCCAGTTGGCGTCGGGAGACACAGAATAACGATAATTAGCAATAACAGCAATAACGATTAGTGTGTAGTCCCCCGAGGTGGTTTGCTGGATTGTTGTCTGATAAAGTAATTACCGCTGCAATTAAAACATTGGACACGAGTGTCCTCTGCGGTCCGGGTCTGGCCTCGAATCGGCTCTGGGCTGCTCTGCGTGCGAGCCCCGTCGTCCCTCCCAGGAGCAGAGGCATCGATGTGTTTTATTGCTGCTGCTCTCTTCCTGGGACTTTAGGATGGTGCCTTTAGACAGGGTGGGAATAACTGATGAATGTTGGTGCGATCCCCTCGTCCTCCTTCACGCGGGCTGTGATGTTCTTGGAGGAGCAGGTGAAAAACGCCAGGTTTTGCCGGTGATGAGGGATGTGGCGTGTCCGCACGGGGTGCCCCGAGCGTGTCCGTGTCCCCTCTCCTGTGTCCAGCAGCGACTTTAGACCCTCCGCCGTGTGCCCTAGTGCTGGTGCCGTCCTGAGATGGAGGAGAGGGAAGAAGGGAGCGTCGGGGACAGCGGAATCGGATCAGAGACTGAAGTGGGGAGGAAAAGTGACCAAACGTGTCCTTGATAATGAGCGATGCCAACTGGAAATCAACTCTGACGCTTGGAAGCAGAGAGGAGCCTCCACCAAACCCGTCTCTTCCTAATTGAGAGCCCTGCCCGCTCCCGGGATGCGGGTGCTGCACGTCTGCTGCTCTCTCCTTCTGGACGGACGCTGGAAGCGGCGTCTCCCGCCCGGCAGGTCCCGTGCGGAGCCGGAGCCGCGGGCGGAGGGAGGCGCCGGCCCCGTCCTCGCCGCGCTGCGGCCGTCGCTGCTCCAGTGGTGCCGTCGCCGTGGGGTTACGGCCGCCCGCCCGCTTCAATTCCTCCCCTGCTCCGGGATCATACACAAATACCTAAACTTCCCAAAGCTCCTGGCCAAGGCGGGATGGAAAATGGTTTGTGCGCGTAGGGGTATGAACTGTACTTTCATATTCTCTGAAAAAAGTGCTTTTCAGGTTGTTTTGTTTAATGAGTAGTGTGACTAAACACGTCGCCCTTCAGATTTAAACGACTTGCTAAGGAGGGTCACGTCTGATCTCACGTTTCCTGCAAGAAGGACAAGAGATTTGGTGGCTCCCGGTCGCACAAGCACAGACGTGGGTGCTCACCTGCCCCTGGGTTTTGGTGCTGGTCCTGGTTTTCCCCTGTACCTAGAGCTAACTGAAGGTTGGAGTATTTTTTTGTGGCCATCTGTGCCAAGTTTTGCTCTAATTCTTTCATTCTCTAGCAAGACTAAAGCCACAAATAACATTTTCTATTGCATGCTGGTACCAAGCCACTGAGAAAACAAGCACCAGAAAAACTTTATTTTTCAGTTTTTCTTGCACAATTACACACACACACACACATATATATATATATAAGAAACACGAGGTGCTGTTCTAGAAATCACATCAGATTTAGAAATGTCCAAAGTTTTGCCTCTCAACAGGGCTCTTTTAGGTCGCCCTTTCGGAAGTCCCTATGAACGCGGCCCGCTGTCAGGTCTGCTTTCCGCGTGGCGCTCAGTGCGGTTCCTCAGGACGTGCTTCTGTTTCAACTGCTTTTTAGTTCTCTGCTACCTTTATAGGACAGGATTGCGGGCGTTTTAACAGGTTTGTTAGGTGTCTTAACCGAATATTAGGAGGAAAAATGGAATAGGTGCCACGGTGAACATGCCTCTCTGCTAGTTTCCCATCCCGTTTTGGGAAGGAGAGAGGCTCATCCGTGAGCTGCTCCCAGCCAGCGCAGGGATCAGCTGCTTTCCTCCCAGCTGGTTGGTTCTGGAGGGGGTTTTGGCTCCTGGCACGTAGGTTGGGCCGTCCCGGTATTCCCGTGGGACAAACTGGAGGCATTTGTGCAGAGCTGCACCTTTCCAAGGGTTTTCCAGTTGGGCTTTGCTGTCTCTCTAATAGCAGAGCTTGCTCCCCTTTATTGGGCTCCTTTGGTTTTATTGTAGATTGCACTGATGGGGAGCATGACATAAGAAGTAATTCCTCTATGCTGTTTTTCTGGGGGAGTTGAATAGATTTCCAAAAAGGAGATGTTTTATTGGGTCTGTTTTATCACTTGTTAGGACTAAGTTATCTTGTCCCTTGTGCTTTCTGACTGTTCTCCTTGTCCAGTTTTAAATAAATTCCCTAGTTTAACTACTGCCGAGTCCTGTGTGAGCATCTTCCAAACCGTTGGTGCTGGAGCCGCTTTACGCCGAGAGCCCCAGCTCGGAGAATCGCACCCCGAATCGCTCCTGGCTGCTCCCCGCGGCAGCCGGGGTCCAAACCCGGCCCGGAGCCGCTGGGGCGGCCGCGTTCCGGCCCATGTTGTGATGCCGCTGT